CAAGGGAAAGGGCTAACAAGTACACGTTTTTGGAACAGCACGTGGCCCTCAAGCTGACTCCAAGCTGCTCTGAACCAGCGCGGAGTGGCAGACAGTGCTCCCCACGGCAGCCGCCACCATCTGCTTCCTTGTTGCTCCCACATTTGGTTGTAATTTAGCCGACGCGGGTCTGGGCCGCCACCAGACGGAGCTCTCCTGGGGGGGGGTGGGGGGGCGGGGGGAGTCCACCTCTTCCCAGTCACCTCCCCAGTTCCAGTGCCGGGCTCAGGAGGTGCGTGGCCCACAAGCGTTTGCTGACTTAACAAGTGAGCGAATGAGGTTTAAAGGGCCCAGAAAGCGTTCTCTCCTTCCTTCTCTAGACGGTAGCTGGTCTAACTATGCCGCCTTCTCGCTGAGCTGGCCCAGGGCAGCAGAGTTTAGATACCAAACATATTTACGGTCCCACCTTCCCTGAAGGTGACTTGCTCCGAGAGTCTCTCCCCCCAGGCTGTGAAGTGAGGATTTAACACATGCGCTTCCTCCCACCGCCTTCCCACAGACGGGCCGGCCTCTCTGTTAGTGTGAAAATCCCTATTCTGTCAGGTTACTTTCTCGGTCCCAGCACCAAGCAGCAGCGCTAATGTGAGGAAATCTGGAGACAGCCCTTCCAGGCCCAACTGTCGTGGATGGCCTGAGGGTCATAAACACCATGTCCCCTCCTCCTCTGGTGGCCCATTTACTAGGCGCACACTAACCAGAGGCCTTTCCACAGGCCAGACTTCCCGGCCCGGAGTCAGCGCCCATCAATAAACCCAACCACGGCTGCTTCCCCTCATCATGATGCCTTTCAAATGCAGACCCAGAGGATTTATGAGCAAGAAGAAATGTGTCACATCCCCCATCCAGGCTCACCGAGGGCCACTGGCACAGACCTTCCCTCCGAACACAGCCAAGCAATCCCAGAGGAAGACCGTGCTTCGCAGTGGCCTGGTGACTCACCCTCGCACACTGGGAACTCTTTGGAGGAAACTTCCCACCAGTTGTTTCCTTTGATGAAACATTTCTGGTCAACGACTCACAAAGGTGCCACAATGTTCTGACAGCCAGAGCCTGGTGCTGGCATTAGGTCTCAGGTTGCACAAGGCACGCTCCAGTATTCACTTGATTTTTATTTTTTTTTTAAACACAAGCTTCGCAAGTCTTGAAAATCAGAAAGTATGTGGTGGAGCGGTAGAATATAGAGGACTAAGCTGAGGTGCCCAAAGCAGGGTCCAGAAATGGGAAGGAAGAGGTTAGAATCCACTCCTTACCTTCGGAAAGTGCGCATCCCCAGCTCCCAGCCCTCTCCACCCCGATAAACAAGCCTTATCGGCCACCCACACCACTTCAGTTAGTAAAAGGGTTTAGGAATGTAAATCACACTGGAGTGAAGTGTGATCCTAATTTGCACTTAATCAAAGCCAATTAGAAGTACATTATTTACACAAAGCCCATGCATCTCAATTATGCCTAGCTGCAGCCTCAGACAGTTTGAATCCAGACCTTAATTCTGCTTAATTAGAGGAGTAAACATTTTCACTGAGTCAGTCCTCCGTCAGGTCTAGAGCCTATGGGTAAACTGAACCAAACACGCAGAGCTCCTCGCTCTCGAGGGCCAAGAAAGTGTAACTCACACTTGCTGGCAGAAAGCAGAGATAAGCACCATTCAGACCTGGGGGCTCCTCGCGCTGGACAAGCAGCCCTGGGTTCCCTCTTTTACACCTACTCAAGAGCATATTTGTTTCTCTCCCTTTTCCGTATTTTAGCCAGATAAACCCCACCTCGCCGGATGGGAAAGCAAAGGACCCCAATTCAGTTCTCAGCTGTCATGTTTCATTTCTCTGGTTCACGTGGTCCCTGGTGTACTCGGGTGAAGGCGGTTTCAGGGTAGCTGGATTGAGTCAGGAGGGAGCAGAAGAGGCCCCCAGGTCAGAGCTGGGCAGAGGACTGAGAACAGGGATTTAGGGCAACAAGGCTTCCAGAGTCTGCAGATCAGAGAGCCAGGAGGGGCCTTGGTGACCACAGCTTGAGAATGTCACTCACCCACCCATTCAGTGACTAGGGACTGGGCACTAAGCTGGGCGCCAGGAAAGCTGCCGCTGCCCTTGCTGGGGAGGCCCCAGGTCACTGTGCTAGGCCTTGCCTTGCCGGCCTGGGCAAGTCCCCTCTTCACTGTATTGGTGAGCAGGAGGGTAGGGCTCTCCCAGCAGAGACCCTGATGGCGCATCTGAAGGCTCCTCCTCTCCACGTTGACAACAGTCAGCATGGCCTTATGGGAACCAATAAATGGCCAGGATCATGCAGCCTAAATAACATCCTCCAATGCTCAGCCAGAGGAAGAAAAGAAGAGCAAAGCAAAGCAGAGATCAGCACGGCTCAGATCGTTACAGCAAAGGTACAATGAAAGGGACTTCAGGCTCTAACTCGAATTATAGTTCCCAAGCTCTAATCACTGAAAATCAATTGACTTTTTAAGCTTCATTTTGGTATACATCCCCTCTAAACCCGCGTGGCCATCCCTTTGTCACGGCTACCTCCCCCGAAGTAGGGGCAGAGCGGGAGAATGAAACAAATGCAATATAAAGTACTTGGCATGAAGCGGGTGCTTAACAAATATCCGTGGGATCAATAGTAGGAAATCAAGACTCATCAGGTTCCTTGGTGTTCTCACAGCCAAGTGGTCCCATTTGTATTAAAAACAAGTAAATAAAATGGTAAAATCTCCGAAAGGAAGAGGAAACACCATTGAACAGCCTAAAGGCCCAAATTGTTTTCAACACATAAAGTACAAAACGAAGTGACATAACATCACAGCTTCTAGTATTACAACATCACGGTATTAGTTACATATAAGGTGCCATGGGCTGCTTTATTTTGAATTTTAAGGGGGGAAATTACAAATATATATATTTCCAACAGTTAAAATACATTTTTAATTACACACTCAAGATCTCTACATTTCACTTATGAAAAATTTACCTCAATAAAAAAGGTTTAAGGCTGTGGCTGGGTAGCTCAGTTGGTTAGAGCATCACCCCGATATGCCAAGGTTGTGGTTTCAATCCCCAGTAAGGGCACATACAAGAAGCAACCAACAAATGCATCAATAGGTGGAACAACAAATTGATGTTTCTTTCTCTCTCTGTCTCTGTCTCTCTCACCCCTCTTTCCTCACGTTCTAAAAAATATCAATTTAAAAAGTAGCTTAAAAATTCACATTTTAGGTAGATCAAGGAATGACCAACTCATTAAACCATAATGGAAACAAAAATAATAGTGTTCAATTCTTCTCAAATGGAGGTATAGAAACTTCTGGAAAGGCTTAGTTAGCAGTGGTCTGTGTTGACAGGCTTCCTCGCTTTGCATTTGAACCAGCTCTTTTATTAACAAGGACCAAACATAACTGTCTATAACTTGGTCATTTAACATTGCTGGGGGCCGTCCTAGGTCAGGCCAGGGAATTTTTTCCCTTGCCTACACAGGAAGTCACGGCTATCTCAGAGTAAACCAACTCTAGTTCCCAAAAGAATTTGCCTTTGAACTCTTTCAGCACAACCCCAATGAACTGGCTTCTCTGTCCTTGCATATTCACCGAATGCCCTCCCACTTTTCCCAACCATCCAACTCTTCGAAGTTACTCATTGGGACCCTTGGGGAGAACTTCTCACTAAAGGTACAGCTCCTCCTCTGCCCCCTCTTCAGCTCCCAACCAGGAGGCTCAGTAAAGACTTCACATTGGCAAGATATCCCCAAAGAAGCAAGAAAGGGAATTTCACATTTATGAGGTTAGCTTTTTCTAGAGACCAATTTTATTTCAAACCTGAGACCAATTAGGGAGAAGGATAATAAAAGCATGTATGTATAGTCAGATGCTCTAACCCTGAGGTGCAGCCCCAAGGAAAGCATATATGGATGTGTTCACCAAGAAATCATACCAAATAATTCTTTTACAATTTAAAAAGCACTTTCTCATATATTATTTGATTTGCTATTATTAGATATTCACAAGAATCTAAGAGGCAGGTACACAGTAACTGATATGTCTAGGTTAGAGTTAGTCAATGTGGTCTTCTGAATCAAAATTCAGTGTTTGAAACAGTCTAAATGGAAATAGTTGATTAGCCCACTAACCATAGAAAAATGAGGAAAGAACATGAACAGAGAGTTTAAACATGTGAAATTTAAATATGAGAAAAGATGCTCAATGCCAGTCTAAGAGAAATGCAAATTAAGATGATAATGAAATATCACACTGGACCTATCTAATAGGCAAAAGTCTGAAAAATCTGTTATGATGATGTTTTGGAAAGGTATTGAGAAATAAGCACTGTCATATATTGTTGGTGGGAGTATAAATTAATATAGCAATTATTATGGAAAATCTGGCATCTATAATAATAAAAGTGTAATATGCTAATTAGACCACACATCCTTCCGGATGAAGCCAGAGCTGCGAGGGAAGCCTGGGTTCCAGGTGCCAGAGGGAAGCTGGTGCTGGCAGCTGGGGGAAGGAAGGCCTACTCTTGCACAAATTTCATGTATCGGGCCTCTAGTTAGATAATAAAATTACAAGTGCACATACCCTATAACTTGGGGATGTTACTGCTGAAAACTAATTGCACAGCTACAATTACACAAGTGCTCAAAGATGTAGGAAGATATTTACTTCAGCATTGTTTATAATGACAAAAGTTTGAAAAGCACCTGACAAGAGTTTGAAAAACACCTGTGTCTAACAATAGAGGTTCTAAATAAATTATGGTAAAACCCTACAATGAAAAACTATGTTGTCTCTGAAAATAATAAAATTCCCTAAATACTAAAAAAAAGGAAATATCTCCAGGACATATCGACATATAATCAAACTAAAGTACAAAAGAACGTGCATAGAACGGTGTCCTTTTGATGTCAAGGAAAATGGATGTTTGTATGTACACAGAATATCCTCAGAATGACACACAGGAAACTGGTAACAGCATTACCTTTGGGGATAGACTAGGAGATGGGGTGGGAGACTTCTCACCGTATACCATTTTGTGCCCAATTTTCTGTTTTAACTGCATGGTATGGTAACACCTATTTAAAAAGCTGAAATACCCTGGGAATAAAAATAAAGTAGGCTGATGAGTTGAGACTTGTTGGAAAAAGGTCTCTGATCTGTTAAAAGTTCAGATATACCCATATGGCTTCACCCATGCTGCCCAAATGAGCAGGCATGTTTGAGGAGAGCTGGCAGAACCCTCAGCTCTGGCACTGCCCATGTAAACATGAATCTGTCATAAGAACATATTTGCAGGGGCCACTTCTTCCTAAGTGTACACACACACACACACACACACACACACACGAATACCAATCTTTCATGTGACAACACCTTTTGTTTGAAGTTACAAGAATCTTTTCTGTCCATCATTTCATCAAATCATAACGCATTCCAAGGGAAGTACTTTGAAAACTTAAGTTACCCTTCAATTGGCAGAGTTGTGACTCAAACCTAGGTACCCGAATTCCAAATTAGATATTCCTTCTACCATGCCAACTACTGCACATGGCCTTCCAAAGATAAATCTGTGACGACTCTGTCCCCAGGCTGTGTTGATTAAGAGTAATAAGGTATGTATGTTCCCCATACAACTTCCTGGATTCAGTGGCATCTCAGAGCCTCCTGAACGTTAGCAAACGCTAACCACCTTTCTCTGGATATCCAGGGCGCTCGAGTGTAAAGTAGGCAGCGTAGACTATAAGAATTTTGATCCTTTACAGCTCAACTCTTCAATGAAATAGAGGCTTTCTTGAGTTCTGCTGACAGCGAGGAGAGAACCACCCCAGAGATGAACATTTAACAAAAAAGAAGTATTCATAACTAGGAGCCAAGCTCCATAAAGAGTTAATGTAGAGAGAGACCGAGAAGAGGACAAAGGATGAGTCAAAGAAGGCCTAGCAAACTCCCGTGGTCACACTCACCCAGCCAGCATGGAGCAGCCAAGCCCAGCTTGGCTTGTGGTTACCTGCCTGGCTTTTTTTTTTTTTTTTTTTACTCAAGCAGAGGGATCAGTGCCACCTCACCATGGAGGCCCAATGGCTTGGCCCACTATTTTAAACACGGTTTGTGGTCTATACCAAGATGGATTGAACAACTCTGTATCCTCCAAGGGACTGCGATAGAATGTAACATATGCTTATCCCAATGGCAAGGATGGGGATAAGTGAACAGACATTGGACCACATCAACAGCAGGCCCAAATTTTTTCTCAAAATATCCTCTGCGAGGCCCCAGGGAAAAGTTTGCAAAATACTAACAGTGGACAGTGGATCTCTTAGCAACAATAGGCGAGGCAGGAGCTGCCATTCAAGAAGATCCCAAGTGACGAAGAATGGAATTCCCTATGGGTTCACAGATCTCCCCACAAAGGAATCACTAACTGAGGAAAAGAAATAAGCAAAAGCTTCTATTCTGTTAAGTGTGCCAGTCCTACTTCGCCTCCCTTTTTAAAAAAAACAACAGCTCTTTTGAGATATAGTTCTCTTAGCACACATTTCCCCCATTTAAAGGGTACAATTCAACAGATTTTAGTATATTCATAGAGTGCGCAACCGTCACCACAATCTAATAAGAACATTTTAATTATCCCTGTACCTCGTAGCCATCACTTCCCAAACTTTCCATATCCCCAGCCCTAGGCAACCAGTCATCTACTTTCTGTCCCTCTGGATTTGCCTACTCTGAAAATCTCACATAAATGGAATCATACAATTTCTGGTCGTTTGTAACTTGCTTCTTTCAGTCACCAATGTTTTCAAGGTTCATCTATGTTGTAGCATGGATACGAACTTCATTCCTTTTTATGGCTAACATCCCATTGTACGGACATGCTACACTTTGTTTATCCATTCATCTATTGATGGTTACTGGTTGTTTCCATCTTTTAGCTATTGTGAAGGCTGCTGCAATGAACACTGGCATTCAAGAATCCGTTAGAGTCCCTGCTTTCAATTACTTTTGGGTATATATTGACAGATAGCTGTCTCCATTTCTAGGGTATGAATAGCTATTAATTATTATTTGGGATTAATACTGTCATGACAGTTGTGTACAAGCTTTCGTGTGGACATGTTTTCATTTCTCTTGGGTATATACCTAGGTGTACAACTGCTGGATCATATTGTAACTCTGTATTTAACTATTTGAGGAACTGCCAGACAGTTTGTCAAAGGAGCTGCGCTATTTTATATTTCCAAAGGTAGTGTATGAGGACTCCAATTTCTCTACATCTCCATATTTACTATTATCTATCTTTTTGAATATAGCCATCCTGATGGGTGGAGAGTTGTATTTCCCTGATTGATAGTAACACTTGCGTACCTTTTCATGTGATTATTGGCTATTTGCATATCTTCTTTGGAGAATTGTCTATTCAGATCCTTTGCCCATTTTAAAATGGGGTTAAATTTCCCATTTCATTATTGAGTGGCAATAGTTACTTATATAGTCTAGATACAAGTCAGAGATCAGATATATGATTTGCAAAATTTTTTTTCCATTCTGTCAGTTGTCTTTTCACTTTTGCAATATTGTCTTTAGAAGCACAAAAGATTTAAATTTTAATGATGTCCAGCTTCTCTATTTTTCATTTTGTGTTTTTAATATCACATCTAAGAAACCACTGCTGAATCGAAGATCACAAATATATATACCTATGTTTTCTTCTAAAAGTGATATAGCTTTAGCTCTTATGTTTACGTCTTTGATCCATTTGGAGTTAGGTTTTATACATGATATTCTTTTTCATGCTGACATATAACTGTCCCATCACCATTTGTTGAAAAGACTCTTTCCCCAAAGAATTGTCTTGGCATCCTTGTTGAAAATCAATTGACCATAAATGTGAAGGTTTATTTCTGGACTCTCAATTCTATTCCATTATCTATATATGTCTATCCGTATACCAGTACAGTGTCTTGATTACTGCAACTTAGCAAATTTTAAAATTGGGAAAATTGAAGCCTGTAACTTTGTTCTTTTTTTCCTCAATATTGTTTTGGCTAATCTGCATACTTTGAATCTAGATATGAATTTTAGGAGCGTCTGTTCAATTTCTGCAGAGAAGTTGGCTGGGATTTTATAAGGATTTTATTGAATAATGTAGATGAATTTGGGAGTGCTGTCATTTTAACAATATTATGTTTCAATCCATAATATGTCTTTCCATTTATTTCAATCTTCTGTAATTCCTTTCAACACTTTGTATTTTTCAGAGAATGAAATTTGCACTTCTTTTGTTAAATTTATTCCTAAATGTTTTTATTTTTTTATGCTAATATAAAATAAATGGAATTGTTTCCTCAGTCCCATTTTTTATTTGCGCATGACTACTGTATAGAAATACAAGTGATTTTTGTGTATTGTTCTTACATTCCGCATCGTTGGTGAATGAGTTGCCTTTTACAATTGTTCCTAAGGTTCTTTAAAAAAATTACTACTGTGGCGGCTTTGTACGGAATCAACTTAGCTAAAGTGGAACTACATTTCCCAACATGTCCTTCCCTGCAAGATTGTGAGTTAGGGTTGGCTGTAAGAAAAATGTATGTGAGAAGGTGGAAATGCAGCAGCAATCATCCTCTGATGGTTAAGTGCCAGGCCCATCACACTGTGGCAGCTTGTACCCACGGCTGCTCATCCTACCAGGCCTGCATACCCACCAGCTGCCCAGACATCATCCTTCCGATTCTCCGAGTCCTGGGCCGAGGGCACGGGCAGCTCTGCAGTGAGGAGTGCCAGCTCCTGCTGCAGGTCCCCATGTTATCCAGGCTGATCGCACTGAGAAACCAACATGGATTCCAGTTTGCCTCATGGGGTAGAGTTTGTCCTTTCCTTCTGCCCCTGAAAGGGAGCTGTTTTTCTCAACATCAGCCCTGATACATACAGTAGGTCCTCAGGTTACGTGGGAGATCCGTTCCTACGGTGCAACGAAATGCGATTTTCGCCGTAAGTCGGAACCCACCTACATAAGCACCTACGTCGCTCACATGGAGCACAGACAGAGCAGTGAAACAGTAAAAAAAATTTAAAAGAAAGATAATTCCTGACCTTTACTTGTGGTAAATAAATAATAAAAAACATAAAGCACATATGTACATACGTCGAAATGAAGGAACTTTTTTAAAAAAATAAATAAATGGGAGATGGCGACGTAAACACGAAATGATGTACGTCAAGTCTGACATAACCCGAGGACTGTCTGTACTCAGGCCCAACTCGATACTCAAAGGCCACAGACTTCTTCAGCAGCTACCGAACCATAGGAGGTCACATAGAGGTCCAATCCCTATAATGAATCGCTCATTCAATACCAGTGGTTTTGCCTCTGGGATCAAAACCTATGCTTCCTTGAGTGTGTGTGGGGGGGAGGTTGGGGGTTAATGGGGGGGATGAGGACACATTTGTAATACCTTAACTAATAATAAAAAAAATAAAACAAATAAACAAACAAACAAACAAAAAAAACAACCTATGCTTCTTATGTTCTTCTAAATGATACCACTCTGGTGCGGGATGCTAATAGGGGAGACTGAACATTTGTCAAGGCGAGGGGTGTATGGGAGCTCTCTGTGGCATCCTTTCCATTTTCCTGTGGACCTAAAACGTCTCTAAAAAATTAAGTCTACAAAAATATAAACTTTTAAAAGGATAAATACTGTATGATTCCACTTATTTGAAATATCTAAAGTGATCAACCTCAGAAGCAGAAAGTAGAGTTTGGTTACCAGGGGGCTGGAGAGGGAGGGAGAAAGGGGAGTTGTTGGTCAATGGCTACAAATTTCAGTTTTGTAAGATGAAAAAGAAATCTAGAGATCTGTTGCACGGTCATATGCATGAAGCCAATAATACTGCGCTGTGCATTTAAAAATAGTTAAGGTGGTAAACTTTGTTATATGTTGCTGTTGTTTTTACCAGAAAAAAATAATAATTTGAAATGGGTAAAGGGAAAGCAAAAGAAAACTAAAAAATGTGGCGGTGGTGGTGATATGGAAGGAGAGGGTAGACAGACAGATGACATTATCATTTACTCTATAATTTTAACTTCCCAACTGGAACAA